ACAGATTCTGTGAGTCTGGGCTGTGTCCTCCTGTGGTTTTTATTAAGTGCCCCATGTAATGCTAAGGTTAGGCGAGTATCAAGCATGAGGGTTTCCAGGTATATTTCAGAGAAGTGAGTTTTTTTGTTTTTCCAGAAAGAGGTCACAGGGCCCATATTTTCATTTCCGTGGCAGAAATTGCTGGCAAGGGAGGGCACTGGAGGTCAAGAAATAAGAAACGTATTTATGGTCTTTGTGTGAAATCTCCTCCCTGACTCCTGTCATGAAGAACAGGAAAGGGTGAAATTTTTTCTGTACTTCGAGGTCCCTCTGCCTGTGGATATGGTAGGTGGTAGTAGTGCAAGGGTTAGGGTGATGCCTTTAAAGGCATGTGATCAAGGTGCAGGAGTAACATGTCCAGATACTCTCCCCTGAGAAGGAAGTCAAGGCAAGGAGGAGAAAGACAAAGAAATGGTTGCTTCTTGGGTAAATGTGTCCAAGGTCCAGGGCTGTGCCCACTTTTTCTCCTGCATTATTAGAATTTGGAAACCTTTACGTCTCTTGCAATGTTCCTGCCTAATGAGTTTGTTTCAAATACAAGTTTATTTTTTATAATGGTCAAGGAGTTCCAAAACTTTTTCTCTTCTACATATACAGCAGAGTATTTTTGTTCTCTTCATCCAGGTTTCTCGTATGCCCTAAAAAATTCTCACCTTAAATTACTATCCTGAAATAGTGAAAATGTTCCCTTTCTCTCTTTTGAAAATAGAAAAATGTGGATGCCCAAGATTCCCATTGTGGATGAGGTTGGGTCATTGGCTGTTAGCAAAGAAGGGGAATATGTGCAGTTTAGCTTCCATCTGGAAGTTCTGTCAGTTCTGCATGGAATGAGATGAAGCACATGCACTTTTACAGAGGACCCCATTAACTGCCTAAAGTAACTCAATGTTGTGGAAACCAGAATAATTAGAAAAGCCTTCCTTTCCAGAATGCTAAAAAGGACATATTTAAAGATATGATTAAAGACTAGAAAATATGCCAGGTATCTGTACCTCCAACTTTGCCAAAACTAGGGTTTTTTTTAAACGAGTTTTTCTCAGATTATGATTTTCTTTTTCTGCCCTAACACAGAAGTAATATTGTTTGCACTTGTGAATGGGTGTCATCTTTGTTTTTTGGTTCAGAAATCAACTGGGATAAATCCATCGCTACAATTCACTTCATGTTTGACAAAATATTATCATGGGACAGAAGCATTGGCATTCCTGTTGAGCTTATTGTAAATTTAGAAATTGAGGCTTGGCACCTGTACTCAAGTGGCTAAAGTGCCAGCTACATACACCAGAGCTGGGGTGTTGGAATCCAACCTGGGCCTGCTAAACAACGACAACTCCAACCAAAACATAGCTGGGCCCTGTGGTCGGCAACTGTAATCCTTCCTACTTGGGAGGCTGAGGCAAGCGAATCGCTTAAGCCCAAGAGTTTGAGGTTGCTGTGAGCTATCATTCCATGGCACTCTATCCAGGGCAATAGCTTGAGACTTTGAGTCAAAAAAAAAAAAAATTTAGAAATTGAATCTTCACCCCATATCTGGTGAATAAATTTCTACATTTTTTCAAGATCTCCAGTTCTTTAGTATTCACATTAAAACTTTAGAGGTACATTTAACTCACCATGACATTTTTCTTTTTTTTTTTGTGAGACAGAGTCTCACTTTGCGGCCCTCAATAAAGTGCATTGGCATTGTAGCTCACAGCAACATCAAAATCTTAGGCTCAAGGGATTCTCTTCCCTCAGCCCCCCAAGTAGCTGGGACTACAGGTACTCTACAGAATGCCCAGAATGCTATTTTTTGTTGTACATGTCATTGTTGTTTAGCTGGCCCCGGCCTGGTTAGAACCCACCAGCCTCGGTTTACGTGGCACCATGTCCCAGCTATTTTTTTTTTTTTTTTGGTAGTTGTCATTGTTGTTTGGCAGCCGGGGCCAGGTTTTAACCCTCCAGCCCTGGTGTATGAGGCCAGCACCCTGGCCACTGAAGTATAGGTGCTGAGCCTCATCATGACATTTTCATATAAAAAACATACACAACTTATACGACATGATGTAAATAAGGCACACAAATACACATGCCAGTACTGGTGGCCTTTCATTTCTAGTGTATCAACCAAAAAAGTGTAGTGTGTACACTGGCTTTGTGGATGTTGTACCGTCCCCTTTCCTCCATGTTAGACAGCACATGAGGGAATATGTCTCTCCCATACTTACCTTATTAGGTAATTCCAGTCTTTCCTATAAGTCAGAGTAAGTTCTCTTCACGCACGTAACTAAAAGTGAAATTCAGTCTCCCTCTGCCTTCTTGGTAAATACGTTTGTTTTTCAGGAACTGTTGACATTCAAGGACGTGTCTATAGAGTTCTCAATGGATGAGTGGGCCTGCCTGGACCCTGCTCAGCAGACTTTGTATCGGGATGTCATGTTGGAGAACTACAGACACCTGGTCTTCCTAGGTGAGGAGAACTGAAATACACAGTTCCTGGACTACACTAAGCAATTCATATTCTCTCTTTGTAAAAGGTTTTTATTCAGTTTCTTCTTTGACTACGTGAGTATCAGTTTCTTGTTTCTAAGGACAATTTAGGGACATCATGATATAGGAAAGAAAATGCCAGAGATGGTTTATTTTGGCATTAATCTTAACCTTTTTTGGCCGGTTTATATCCTTCACTAGATTAATGGAAATCTCAGAAATTTAGTGGCATAGATTGTTACCCACACCTTTAAGCCTGATTTCTAGCACCAAATTTTATTTTATTACTACTAGGTGGTGGAGTTAAAAATCTTCCAACTTTAAATACTTTTTAAAGATTCTAAAGTTTCTGTAAGGAACGTTTGTTTGGGGATTATTCTTTCAGGATGTTGTAAAGTGTTCTTTTCTCTACTTTAGCAAGGTAGTAGATGACCACTTGAAGAATTCCAATCAGAGTCCTGTTCCTCTTTTCTAATACGACAGGTCTCACTTTCTCTAAGCCCGACGTCATCATCTGTCTGGAGCAAAGCAAAGGACCCTGGACAGTGAAGGCACAACAGACAGTAGTCAAGCCCCCAGGTAGGTTGGAGTGAATGAAGCAGGTAACAGTGGTTGGATGTCCAAAGGTCAAGGAAGAAACCATAAAATATAGTATGACTAGGGAAGCTCAGATTAATTGGGAAAGATTTCTGAGATTCTTGGGTTTCTTTGTCTTGTTCTTATATGAAGGCACTTCTGTACTGTTTATTTTATTTAATTAATTAATTTATTTTTTGGCAGTTTTGGCCAGGGCTGAGTTTGAACCCACCACCTGTGGCATATGGGACTGGCGCCCTACTGTTTTGAGGCACAGGTGCTGCCCTGTTTTTTTTTTTTAATTTTTATTTCCTTATTGACACTGAGTCTCACTCTCTTCCCTCACACTACAGTGACATGACATCAGCCTTGCACAGAGCAACCTGAAGCTGCTGGGTTCCAGGTGATTTTTCTTTTTTTTTTTGAGACGGAGCCTCAAGCTATCCCCCTGGGTAGAGTGCCATGGCATCATGCTCACAGCAACCTCCAACTCCTGGGCTCAAGCGAGTCTCCTGCCACAGCCTCCCAAGTAGCTGGGACTACAGGCGCCCGCCACAACTCCTAGCCATTTTTTGGTTGCAGCCGTCATTGTTGTTTGGCGGGCCCGAGCTGGGGATTCGAACCCGCTACCTTAGGTGTATGTGGCTGGTGCCTTAGCCGCTTGAGCCACAGGCGCCGAGCCTCAAGTGATTTTTCTCTCTCAGCCTCCCAAATACCTGGGACTACAAGTTTTTCCACAATTCCTGGTTAATGGAGTTTCAATTTTTCCATAGCGAGGGGGGTCTCAGGCTGGTCTTGAACTTGTGAGCTGAAGCACTCCTCCCAGCTTGGCTTCCCAGGGTGCTAGGTTTACAGTTGTGAGCCACTATGCCTGTTTCATTAGTCTTTAATTTCTAGAAGGACTTTACTTTTCAGTGATATTCCTTCTAGTTTATAGTGAGAATAAAAGAACTTTCTATAGCTGGAATGTGACTGCAGGATGTGACTGCTCTTCCGTTGCTTTTAAAGACATAAAATATTTGTGTATTTTTTAGTATCTCTGTGAAAAAAAATTTTTTTTAAATACATTTTAGCCTGGACGTGGTAGCTCACATCTGGAATCCTAGCACTTGGGACCCAAGGTAGGATGATTGCTCAAGTTCAGGCATGTGAGACCAGTGTAAACAAGACCCTGTCTCTACTAAAAATAGAAAAATTAGCTAGGCATTAGAGTGGTTGCTTTGGTTCCACAGCTGGGGTTGGGTGGGTGGGGATCAGGCTGGAGAACTGCTTGAACCCCAGGAGTTTGAGGTTGCTTAGGCTGATCTTATGACATTCCAGCCTGGGAAAGAGAATGAGACTGTGTCTGGAAAAAAGGCTTGTTTTTCTTTAGCATCATATCCACAATATGTGTGTGAAGTGGTGATATTAGTATTTGGTTCAGAAATTCCAGGAACAGCACAAAGAGTTGTTGTATGTTATCTGCTTTCTACTTATTTATCCTATGAAGTTTTCAAGGAAGGTTCTGCAGATGTTACAGTCAGTAATTATATCAGATCACTAAGAATCTCCCAAAATGTAAAGAAAATCTAATGTTATTTAAGTTCAAAATTTTCTTTTTACGGAGGTGTCTGTGTAGGGCACTGGCCCAATGTTCCAAGGGTGTCAGATTCAAACCTGGCCCTGGGCATTGTGGTGTGCTCCTGAAGTTCCAGCTACTCGGAAGGCTGAGGCAAGAGCATTGCCTAAGCCCAAGAGCTGGAAGTTGCTGTGAGCTGTGACAACAGGGCATTCTACCAAAGGGGACAAAGTAAGACTCTGTTTGAAAAAAAAAACAGAAGAAAAAAACACATAATTTTCTTTTTATATGGACTGTCATGAATAATATAATTTCTTTGTGCCCTAATTGCCAACCTTAGTACAGTTATAGGTATCTATTCCCTACATTTAATTTTTGTTTCTTTTTTTGATGCAGAGTCATGTGCCATGGCCTTATAGCTCACGCAACCTTTAACTCTTGGGCTTGAGCAATCCTCTTGCTTCAGCCTTCCAAGTAGCTGGGACTATAGGCCGCCTCCACTACTCTTGGCCAGTTTTGCAATTTTTAGTACAGTTGGTATCTCCCTCTTACTCAGGCTGGTCTTGAACTCCTGAGCTCAAGCAGTCTACCTGCCTTAATCTCCCTGGGTGTTAGGATTAGAGGTATGAGATCCCACCTCTGTTAGTTGCATTTCTTTTTTTTTTTTTTTTTTTTT